AGACAGAGGTATGTCATAGTCAGCTCAAACTGAGAGCTGATCATTAAATTTTCAGTATGAGCATTCACATTAAGTAAATTGACAAAAGCTACAAGTGAAGGCTTGATTTATCATTTTGTTGATTGCTAAGACTTAAGAAAGTCTGGGGAAAATAGCTGGAAAGAACTATCAATAGGATAGATTAAACTTAAAAGTGGTATGCATTTTTCTCAGTGAGCCAGTTGTTGAACATTTGTCCAGAATACTACTTTATTCAGATCTAAAAGCAATGAAACCTTATCCCTGCTGTCATTCATTTATTCAATGAAGATTCATTGGATGGATGAATGGGTGGATGGATGATGGATGGATGGATGGATGATGGATGGATGGATGGATGGAAAAGTATTTATTGAATATGTGCTATATGCCAAGCTCTGTGCTAAATGCTGGGGATATAAATAGAAAAAGTGAGACAATCCCTGCTCTCAAGTAGCTCACGTGCTAACTAGGAAAGACAACACATAAAAGTTCATCTGCATGGTGAATAGAAAGTTCTGGAATTCCTGAGGCCGCAGCAGTGGTGCAGATGGTAAGATACACAAGTCCTTAGATGGAATGGCAGTGTCAGGGAAATTCATGGCAGAAGCAGGGCGTATGCAAGGCCTGGGGCACTTTGTGAAGCAATTGCAGGGGAGATGGTAACATGCGGTATTTTCCCATTTCATCTGAAGGAATAGAGTTGTCGACTTCCATTTCAACAAAGGAGAAATTGAAGGAAGAAGGATGCCTGAAGTGATAGCTGATCTTCCAGCTACCCAACATTCCCACATGAGTTCTGGGGAAAACCAAGTACTAGGTTCTGAAGAAAATACAAATATAAATGAAACATATTGCCTGCTCTCATAGGCCTCACCATCCAAGAGGGCTGTACACATGTTCACAGACAAACATAGTACAAATTCCGTTATGTTGTGAGAGGCAATATGATATAGTGGATGGAGAACTAGCCTCAGAACCAATAAGTACAGGTCCAGCCTCTGACACTACAGGCTATGTCAGGCCTGCACAACATGCGGCCCACAGGCTGCTTGTGGCCCACCAAAGGATTTCCGGTGGCCTATGAAAAATGTAGAGAATGTGAAAGAAAGTCAAGATGTAACGAGCGCTTTTTTCACGCCCCACTTAACCTGCTTTACACTAGCCACTATTCTGTCCGTTGTGTAACTCGGCAGGTGAGTTGCCACTCTGTACTGTTTGTTACATGACCTGCAGCAACCAACTATTGTAAGTCTGTCTCTAGTCTGAGAGGAGCAAGAGGCATATCTCTTCTCTGTGTTTTTGGCACTACTGGCATTGAACAGGAACAAAGTAAGCGCAGCCCCACACCAATGTAGTAGACACCCACTATGTGATGAGTGGCAACAGTGTCAGAGGTTCTTCCTCTCCCTCGCTGTGCAGCCACCCTCCTCATTAGATGAGCATCTGGCTCTCTCTCCAAGGTTAGGCACTCAGCTCAGTATTTATCCGTATGTGAGCAGTTGCTGTGGAGATTTGTTTGGTTCTAACATTAAAGTTTTGGGATGACTTTGCAAAATGGCTGAGAAAAAGAAATGGAAGATCGAATCAGAACACAGTGTTTAATCTGGAGCCGACAAATGGATACTTGTTTACTTACATGAGAGACAACGAATTGTGCCTAATTTGCTGAGAAGTAATAGCTGTTTCGAAGGAATATAATTTTTCTCACCATTTTGAAAGCAAATTGGACACCAATGAAAAACAAATTAAATCATCCAAATTGTTGAAAAATCTCAGTGGGGAACAATGGTTTTTCAAGAAAGCAAACTCAAAATCAGGAGGCTACTAAGTTAGTGTTTAGATTTCTCAAGAAATTGACTTTAAACATGATCCCAGAGTACGATAAACTGATTGCTGACAAGAAGTATAATACATCCCATTAACTAAATAAATAAGAAAACCTGAAAAATGTATTAAAACTTGTACCACTTAGCAAAGTATTTTTTAACATTAATGTGATTTCATGATAAATATTGAGTAATAAGTATTGATATTAATTTAAAATTTCCTTTTTTTTGGCTAGGCTAAGTGACTTGCCCAGGGTCACACAGCTAGTAAGTGTTATGTGTCTGAGGCCGGATTTTAACTGAGGTCCTCCTGAATCCAGGGCCCATGCTCTATCCACTGCACCACCTAGCTGCCCCATAATTTCCCTTTTTTAATATGTCATTTGGGAAATAGCTTAAACATTAATCATATCTTTACTTGGAAAGTGAGCCGCTAAAAACCTACCTACAGCCTGAAGAAGGTTAGCCTATTTTTATTGGACCCTACCTGTTGCCAAGTTGTGCAGGTCTGGGCTATGTGATTAATCTCTCAATGCTCTAGATTAGAGGAATCCAGCTCAGATGGAAATGGATCTTTGCCAACAGCATATTGACTTAGAAAAACCACAAATTAATATTATCTATATTATTTTGTGTTTATATTTATTTCATTAAATATTTCATGATTATATTTTAATCTACTTCCAGTAATACTAGGAATTATATCTCTGTTCTAAGCAACTCCTAAGACTATAACTTTCAGAAAAGGTACTGACTGGAATTAATAGAGGGAATCTCCTCATCTGGGAATTCCCTATACCCTTGAGGGCACATGTGGCCGTCTAGGCCCTCAAGTCATGGCCCTTTGAACAAATAGATTTCTGTGAAGCTTGGATTCAGTCAAACGGCTGCACCTGAGGACCTAGAGGGCCACATGCAGCCTCAAGGCTGCAGGTTCCCTCACCCTGCCCTATATCAAGAGAGTCATAGGTCTAATCCCTATCCCTATTCTGCAATATGTTAGACAAATTTAAACTTGTAGAAACTTTGTAGAAATTTTGTGTAGTTAACTGGGAACTGGTCTTGGAGTCATGTAGATTAAGAGGAGTGGTGTTCTAATTTCTTTTTATTTTAGAATTGCATTATATTCTTAAAAATTATTGAGGATCCCTTTATATTATTGAAAATTATTGATAATCCCAAAAAACCTTTGTTTCTGTTGGCCACATTTATGGAAATTTACTATATTTGAAATTTAAACTGATATGTTTTTTAAATATTCATTTTAATTCCTTTAAAACTAACAATAATAGTAAATTCATTCCATGTTAACAACATATTTTATGAAAAATAACTATATTTTCCAAAACAAAAATTAGTGAGAAGGATGATGCTGTTTTACATATTTCTGCAAATCTCTTTATATGATTGTAATAGAAAACAGCTGGATTCTCCTATCAACTTTTGTAATCAATCTGTTGTGATATGTTATTTTGTTTGAAGTATATGAAGAAAATCTGACTTCATGTAGATATGTAGTTGGAAAAGGGAGTTGTTATTTTGACCTTGTAGATCCCCTGAAAGTGCCTTGGGAATCCCAGTTTTTTATAGACCAAACTTTGAGAACCACTATTCTAGACTCAAGTTCTGCTTAGAGTAGAACTGGCTGTGTGATACTGGGCAAAGCCCTTAACTTCTCAGTGCCCCCAGACAACATTGTAAGATTAGAACTTGCAAAACCTGTGCTGATCTGCCATTTAGTAGACTGAAAGATTTTCCACCCTGAGAGCTCCTGATGAAATCATAAATCTAGAGGAACCTCCATCAAAAAATAAACAAATAATTTTAGCCCTAGTTTAGAGCACTTACTATGTCATTCTTCAGGAATTGACACATGACTATTTGATCATGCCATAGTACAGTACAGATGCCCAGAGTAAGTGGGCAATAGTGCAGTATCGACAAATGAGGATCCAGATGTTCCAAAGGGATGCTTCTTAAATTTCAGCTTCATAATTAAAAGCAGAGTGTCCAAAACAATGGAGCCAATGGTCCTGCCATGCTCTGTTTTGAAGTGGCCAAATCTGGAGTCTTATATTTCATTCTAGATAGCAAATCTGGGGAAATGACCTTGACAAGCTGAAGTGAACTGACCAGAGCCACCCAGATGGTGAGAGGAGTATTCAAAGATCATTTCCTGATTTCCCAGTTAGTGCTCTCCCTTCTCAAATCACCATGTATTCTGCACACAAATTATACTTCTACCTAAGAATCACTGCTGTAGAACTAGAAAAGACCTCAAAAGTCCTCCTTCCCTCATTTGACAGATAAAATTAAGTCCCAGAGAGATTTAAGTGACTTCCAAGATCACACAGATAGTAAGAATTGGGAGATAGGATTTGAACCTAAATCCTCTGACCTTAAAGTCAGTGTTCTTTCCAGTGTACTATGCTGAGAATATATGTAATTCTGTGGTCCTGATGAAAAACAGGATGACTTTTGTCTTCATGTCTCAAAACCCCAGGATACTGCTTTGTACATAGTAGGTGCTTTAAAATGCTTGAATAAAATTAATAATGTACATAAAAGCATTTTGCAAACCTTTAATATACTCTAAAAATGTTGGGCTATGGGAACCTACACTTGTAGACACCATAGTTGAAAGAAGCTATGACATGCACAGCCACATTGCCCAGGGTCCCTCTTTTCTGTATCTATTTTATTACCCTGTTTCCCATGGGATTTAATAACAGGGATGGGGAGGAGGAATTTCCACAGAATCTATTATAAAGAAGGTAAGATAATGGCTAGTGGTCATTCTTCTCACTCCCAATATTTGTCTTGTGCATTTATTCTATTTCCTGCTCCCAATGATGCTATTTTGTGTCTGTGGAAGCAGCTATTCTCTGTATCACCTCAGGGCATTCTTTTTCTCATCCAAATATGCAAACTTCCCCTCCTGGCTAGGTTTCCAAACAGGAACAAACTCGTTTCCTTTTTGATATTTTCCCCCATCTACATTAAAAACAGTAATTTGACTTCACACAGCTCCAGTCATTTAAAGTGTAGTGGACTTGAGATAGGAGAGCAATTTCCATTCACAGCATAATGCAATGGAAATGATTAGAGGCAAATGAGATTTCAATTGTTTTCAATTGTTTTTATGTTTTTTAGAGCTTTCTTTCTGAAGTTCTCATGTGTTATTGGCTGAACACTAAGAGATGCAGATAGCCTGGCATCCCCTCAAAGATAACACCAGTATCATTCAGCAAAACTTGGAAACAAGGATGCAGGTGCCTTTCCTGCATCCCAGACAGGCACAGCAAGGCCTTTACACTGCAATGCACCCACTGCAAAGTATGACTCCCCCTGCAAAGGTGAGAAGATCCCTCAGGGAGAGTTCCATCTATTGAAGTTAAAAATAATGTCGACAGCCTCATTAATGGGAAATTCTTAGCAGGCAACAAAATAAATTGAATTCCATCTCAAACAAGTTCATTTTTACTTCAGGGTTAACCCTTGGAGAGAATGAATCAGGGGGATCAGAGTTGGAAAGGACCTGAAAAACCATCAAAGCTAAATTGCTTGTTTTAAAGGGCTATAAAGGTTAAGTAAAATAACCGAGGTCACACAGATATTTAATGGTAGAGTCTGAGCTGTACAAAAAGCGTGAGTTTAACTGGTTTCAGTTAAAGGCTTTTAGGGGCATGTGATATGAGTTTGAAGCCTTAGCTCTGTGCAGGTGGTCCAGTTCTTCCAGCCCCATCATTTTTAGACTTCCTATGTCTTCTGTTGTCCTCATTATATTCCATGAAATCTACAAGAAAATGGGCTCAGCTATGCCCCCTAGGTGGAGAGGTCACTATTCTGTTCCTTCATTCTGTTCCCCTTTATTGACTTCTACAGAATTCACAGGGTGATTACAAAATAAAAGCAATCTAAAAACTTAATTTTTTAAGAAAAAAAGACCTATTAATTCTCTTAGTGACAGGGATAAATAAAGAAAGGATTATGTAATGGAAGGAATATTGAAAGAATTTGGAATCAAATGATCGAGTTCAAGTGACCTTGAAATCTCTTACCCTTTTTGTGCCTCAGTTTCCTAATTTGAATGTAGTGCTGTTTTGCTGTTGCCAAGGAGACCAAGATGTTTAAGAGAATGTTTGTTAGTTTCAACCAGAAATTTTCATTGTTCCCCTTTTCAACACCCAAAAAGGTTTCCCTGACTGAGTAACTAGAAGGCCAGACTCACAGACTTGACTGAAAGGCTTTTTCCTTCTCATTTTAGATTTGTATTGAAGACAAAATAAGAAGACAAGAAAAGAGAAGGAAGGACGATGGGAGGGTATAGCAAAAAATAAGAGTTGCAGAATAAGTGGACCAGTGGATAGAAAACTGGTACTGAAGTCAGGAAGACCTGAGTTTAAATCCACCATGAAACACTTAGCAGCTATGTGACTTTGGGCAAGTCATTTCACCACTGCTTGTTTCCTCATCTGTAAAATGGGGATAATAATAGCATCTACCTCCCAAGGTTGTTGTGAGGACCACATGAGGAAAAAAAAAGCATTTAGCATAGTGCCTGCCATGTAATAAGCAGTATATAAGTGTTAGTTGTTGTTGTTGTTGTTGTTATCAGTCTAAATCAATTTACCAATTATCAAGTTATTGTTATCAATCTATATGTGCCACTGTTAAGATCAAGAGGAGAGGGCAATAGGAAAGCACCCAAAAGGGGGCAAGAAATAGATTTAAAACTGAATTATTTTCCCAGAGTTTACTCTCTAGCTGGGGGCTTAGAGCTATAGAAGAAAAAGTTTTTGATTCATTTTTTAATACTCAAGATCAGAAAAGTATTATTTATATTGTGATTGCCTAGCAATGAGGTAGCAGTAGTGAAAGCTCTAGCTAGATGGGGCTCAGTCATCTTCAAATGCTTAATGTGAGGGAAAATTCTCTTCCAAAGGGGACCCAAAGAAGTGAGTTAGAAAGTGTGATTGATAGTACTACCAACCTGTTCATTAATGCAGCATGGATATTTATCACCCCACCATTGCTAACTGTAAAATGAAATGATTAGATTAAGATCCAAGATCACTTCCAGCTCTAAATACTATGACACTATGAATATTTCTTTCTACATATGCTACATGCAGTTTTGAATTAAACAACTAATCCTATTATCTAAATAATCCAAGCCAAAAACTCATAGTCCCATAGAATATACGAAGTGAGTGAAGTATGTGACTAACATCTACTTTCTATAAACAAAAGAAATGTTACATACCAAAGCTCTCACCAGCTCACATGGACAGAAACTTAAAACTGGATCCAGTCGTTATTTGTGGTGTTGTTTGGTCAGTTAATTATGTCCAACTCTTCATGACCCTACTTAAGGCTTTCTTGGCAAAGATACTGTAGTGGTTTGCCATTTCCTTCTCCAGCTCATTTTAAAAAGAAAGAAACTGACAAGGTTAAGTGACATGTCCAAGATCAAACAGCTAAGTAAGTGTCTGAGGCCAGATTTTAACTCAGGTCCTCCTGATCAGTGATTTATGCCTCCTGTTCTCTTTAACATAGATTGACAAACTTCAACAAGCTCAACAAACAGATGTGCTAATGACTTTACATTCTGCCTGGAAGTTGAAAGTTAAATATCAGAACATGAAAGATTTTGTGGAACTGCTGGATATTATTACATTTCACCCTAGTTGTGAACTGTCCAAACAATGCCAGTTCCCTATCTTCTGGCAAAGCAAGCTAGGATCTGGGTTCCTTTGCAGAAGTCAAGTCCACATGAGGGTACTGATGGAACCAGTGTCTCTGAACTTTCAAACTCACTCATGTGTCCAGTCTAATGCTCGACACATCCATCTCAGGATTGCTGTTTACTTGCCTGTGATTAGGCAAAGATACACAAAACAGAGGAGGCCACCAGAGACCTCAACCTCATCTAGCTGAGTCTCCCTGTTCTAGTTGCCACATGAAAGTGGTTATCAGAGAGCTGGGATAGGGAAAAGACCATCAGCCACTCTCCCCAACTAACCAACAAGAAGCTTGAAGTATATTAACATGTTCTACAAATGGGAAGAGAAAAAAAAGATACATAAGAGAGGATCATTGCTGTTACAAGGATTATTTTCGTCTTGATTTCCTCTTACTAATTTTTATTATTTGGGGGGAAGTCAGAACTGTTTCTCCTGGTTAAGAGGTTATTGAGCTGGCTGAGAGCTGTCCCATGGGATGTGAAAGATTACTTAAACATTCCTCATATAAGAAGCCAAAAAGTGAGTTAAGGCTCCCCAAGTATTTGACCTGGGGATGGTTGTTGTCCCTTGTGATTGAAAAGGACCAAAATGATATCACTATGTCAGGGTCAATGTATAGTGAGTCCACCTGTGGCTGATCTGACCAATTTGAGCTCGAAAGGCTCTATTACCATTCAGGCACAAAGAGTCCGTATGAGCATGTGGAATGGAGATATCCTAAATTTGTCCATCTTTTGTTTCTTTTGAGCTACTGCCATTCTGCTTTGCTCATAGAGCACAGCACTTCCAGTTATGTGGGTATACCATACTGGACAGTCCTGTGCCAGTGTCTCCCACATCTCCCATTTGATTCCAAAGTTCTTCAGAGAGATCTTGAAAGTGTCCTTGCAATTTGACTTGAGGAAGGATTTATCTGACATCAACTCTGCGGGCATGTAAATCTCTCCTCTCAATCAACTCATTATGAACCCTCTAAATGTAATTTAATCTGTAATCTGACTCAGTTTGCCATTAGAATCTGTTGAATGAGGTTTGTTCCCTTACTAGATGACAAGATTATGACTTGAACTAACTAAATTTGTTCAACTTTTATGATGTTGAGGGAAGCATGGGATTATGAATCTGTTTTTCAAAACTTTTAGAGTCTAAAAGAATGTATGACTTTGCAAAATATAAAATAATTACTTCTCTGTCATTCTGATATAATTTTGTCTATACAACGCATCTTTAGAATCCTAATTTTTTTCAGGATTTTTTTAACCTCCTGCATCTATATTTAAGCATAATAAAACCTAGGTTTTTGCGTCTATAATTTCTACATCATGTTAGATACTTTTTTCAGCAGCAGTAACCTGCTACATGAACTCAAAGAAAAGATATTTGTCTCATAACACTACCTTTTAAAAGTCTACAAGCATTAGCTCTCCCTTCTTAGGGACTAATAAGGAGATTGTTTTGTCAATTTTCCCAAAAAGGTTATCATCCCCAAAAGCTCCTTATCCCTGCATACGTGGCTGACCAGAAGTATCTAAGGGCTTGTCATCTTAAAAACACCTCCAAGGGCTGAGCTATCACTTATGCTTGGCCAATATAAGACAGGGAAGGTCTGCAAACACTATGGAACCCCTCACTATTTCTGGTTTTCACCAAGCTGGACATGTCCAGAGAATCAAAAAACAAATATATGCCTGCCAAGGATACAAATTGAAAACTGCCTTTGAGATATAAAATATGGAAACATTTCATGATGCTCTTTGAACACTAAGCCTACTACCTTTCAGCAGTCTGAGAAAACTGTCAAGATCCTGTAATCTCTGGCCTAAACAATCCTCAGAGAATACGAAAGGGCTGAGAAGAGATAGTCAAGAATTCCAGTGTCATTTTATAGCATAACTTCATCAGGGCCCATCCCTTTGGTATAAACTGTGCCTAAGACCTCTGGCATTTTTCAGGACAATCTAGTGAAGCAGACTTTCTCCATGGACAAAAACAAGGGAACACAGTCAAAATCAGTGTGAATGTGAAAGCAACCTGGATAATCAGACTCTCCAGAGCAGGTATTGCCTAGCCACAGAGGGCCTCACATGGCTTTTCTCATCTCCAACAAAAATTAACCCTGTTAGCATTCCAGACCATGGCCCAGCTTAGGTTCCCCATATGAAATACTTGGGCAAGCTCTGCTTTTATAAAGTGGCTATAAGAAGCTACTGAATACTGGCAACAGCTGCTGTCATTTGCCCTGCATTTCCCACTGTGGTAACAGATACTATTCTCCAAGGTCCGATATAGTGAAATATAGTCTCACCCTTCAATGATATCCTAAGCTATTTCAAAGACCATGTGCAACCCATGAAATTAGTAAGAACCTTGCTAACATAACTCTGCCAGCACTACTTATATGCACAGTTGGAAAAGTGAGATTTAGGCAGGAAGAGTTGGCACCCTTAAATCACACTGTGGACCACCCAAGGGTAAGTACATAACACCTGAAAAATGAGACCATCCTGATATCAATAAGCTTCATGACCTCCAAAAAATCTGCAGCATTCCCTGGAATTTTCCTGGTCTTATCACCATTTCACTGCACATCTATAGGAATCATAGCTTGAGAGCTGAAAGGGAACTCAGAAGCCAACTAGTCCTAGCCACTTGTTTTTACAAATGAGGAATCTAAAGTTCAAAGAAGTTAATTTATTAAAGTTCTCACAACTTGTAAGTGCCAGAGCCAGGATTTGAACCCAAATCTTCTTATTTGAGTGTCAATACTAATTGCTATTATTATTACCATTATTATTAGTTATCATTGTATGCAAACTCCCTCACCTTGAAATATGTTTTACAAATGCTGTTTCTTTTCTCAGCAGAGTAAACCACCTGCAGCAGAGTGGAGCCATAAAAATCTCAGGGACAGAGCTGCTGACCCTCAAAGCTACCTTTGGGGTAAATCAGCAGGATGTTGAAGTAACCTTACACCCAGTCATCAACCAAACTGACTACCACAATCATAAGGAGCTATAGTCAACCCAGAAACTCAATGAAAGACAGATCCAGTAAGCCTTTGACACATACTGGCTGTTCAACTCTGAGCAAGTTTCTAAATCTCTAAGTGCTCTTGGCAACTCTCTAAGACTGTAAAGTTATGGAAAAGGTGTTGCCTGCATTTGTAAAAGGAGCTTCCTCTTCTGGAAGCTCCTTATACCAATGAAATCCTGGCTCCAGTCTTTATCCCTAGGCAGGGAAGAATCATATAAAATTACAGAATTATAGAATCTAGAAAGTCAAATGGGACCACAGAAGTCATCTAGTTCATCTGGTAGTTGAATAGTCAGCTCATTGACAACCTCAATAAGTCTGTCAATGTCCACATGTATGTAACAATCTTCATATTAGCCAGGCTGGTCTCCTCTTTACACTGCACTTTTCAAATTCTGCTTTTGCTTGCTCCAATCACTCTGCCTACGGTGTCCCCCACTCTACTCACACAAATCCTCACCATCCTTCAAGGCAAAGCTCAATCCAATTTTTCTCCTCTCCCCTAACCCACTTCTGCCAGACCACAGTGATTTTTTGCCTCCTCTGATCTTCTCCAGCCTTGATTGTCTACCCTACTCACTGAGGTCTTGACACACACAGATATACATGGCTATTTATCTTTGCATGTGTCTCTGTTTTTATTAT